GGGCGGAAGATGAATCACAATTGAAGCAGCAACTGGTATCCTTCACAAGTTTTTCGATTAACAATAATTTACTAACACGAATATACAGGAATCAATCATGTCGAATGCCGAAGTCTTTTTATCCAAAGGGGATTTTAGAACCCAAGCGAAGACAATGCAAGGTTCCCGGGACTTCGGGGCTCAGCTATTCTGTGCCCTATTGCGGTCTGTAGCCGTAGAGGCGAGACTTGTTTGCTCATTGCAGCCGTTGCCATTTTCTGGCACTGTGAAAGACATGACACCCTCTAAACCAAAGCATCAATATGTTGTGATATCTTCAGATGATCCTGGATCCTCCACAGATGAACGCAGCCAGAGCGAGAAATCACCTGCAGCTTCAAGACCTCGACGGATTGGGCAGCCTAAATTCACCCCCTCACGTCCTCCTCAACCAAAATTCCATTCAGGTATGTGACCTTCAGCGATTGTTAATCTACGCCCAATTAACACCCACAGCCCCGATTCCGACGCCGCGAGACTCGTCATTCCCGGTATTTTGGGTGGAAGCCTTCAACGAAGCTGCACAGAAATGGGTTCCAATTGACCCAATAGTAACGAAATCTCTTGCTAAACCTTCGAAATTTGAACCGCCTGCGAGCGATTCGTTAAACTTGATGAATTATGTGATTGCTTTCGAGGATGACGCGTCTGCAAGAGACGTGACTCGTCGCTACGTAAAAGCATTTAATGCAAAGACACGGAAACTCCGCGTGGAAGTCACACGGAATGGCGAGAAGTGGTGGGATAAGGCACTGAAGGCCTATGAAAAACCCTTCTTCGAGGATCGGGATGAGGCAGAGATTAGTGAATTAACATCGAAATCAGCAGCTGAGCCCATGCCACGCAATATCCAGGACTTCAAGGATCATCCTGTCTATGCGCTTGAGCGACACGTTCGTCGCAATGAAGTAATCCACCCCAAACGAGTCATTGGATACGTGGCGTTGGGAAAAAGCACAGCGCGGAGTGACACATCAGAACCTGTTTATCGTCGATCTGACCTGCATATCGTGCGAAGTTCCGATAAGTGGTATCGCCTTGGACGGGACGTTAGAGTTGGCGAGCAGCCTCTCAAGCGTGTTGCCGCAAGCCGAAATAAGAGCGGAGGCTTCAGTGACGACGAAGATGAAAATGAGCCCCAAGAGACCACGCTATACGCCGAGTTCCAAACAGAAATCTACATCCCACCACCGGTGGTTCAGGGAAGAATTCCAAGGAACACATATGGAAACCTTGATGTTTATGTTCCCAGTATGGTTCCGCTTGGCGGAGTTCACATCAAGCGACCGGAGGCAGTTCGAGCTGCTCGGATCCTTGGCATTGATTATGCCGATGCAGTCACCGGATTTGAATTTAGAGGTCGTCGTGGTACCGCTGTACTCGGGGGAATTGTTATTGCCATCGAGTACCAGGAGGCGCTCGAGGAAGTTATGAGGGGTCTCGAAGATGAGAGGCGGCATGCTGCACTGGAGGCAAGAACTGCGGAGGCTCTGCGGTTCTGGCGACTCTTTTTGATGAAGCTTAGGATTGCAGAAAGAGTCAAGGAGTATGCTGGCGACGACGAGGAACAACAGCCTGAAGATATCCAAGACGAAATGGATGTTGAAGATGCTGGTGGTGGTTTCTTTCCCGAACCAGACCAGCCAGCCAATAGCCCACCTCCGAAAGTTCTGGGAAAGGGCAGAATGGCACATGATCAGGGGTTTCCCGAAGATTACACAGAAATAGAAACGGAACCGTCATTGGATGAGGAGGATTACACTCTGGGAGGGGGATTTCTACCTGGTGATGATGATCCAGCCCCAGACCCGGTGGAACCTCCAAAGTCTGCGTCTTTGGCCATAAATTCGATGTCGGTTCCTGAGAGTATTGCCAGGAACAAAGCATCAAAAACGCCTCGATACTCACTGGTGGTTGTCCCAAACCACGGCTCAAACCCGACATCCATACCCCAAGTCCTCGCAGGATCATCTGACAAAGCTCCTATCGCCATAGATTCGTCCACAAATGGTGGCTCCAAGTCTGCAAGTGTGGTTACTGTCTCCCGGCCACCGTCACCCGTGCCTAAATATGATTCTGACAGCGAGATCGAGAAGGGATCTTTGCTTTCCGAGGACCCTGACGATGAGGATGCAATTCCCGAATGGTTGATGTCTGATGAGGACTAATATTTAATAACCAGACCTGTTGTATGTTACATATGTACATTGAACATGAATTGTTTGAATAAAAAGATCAAAACAGCTATTCTTTACCAAGGACTGCTTCTGCCAACCTTAAAATTTGTTTTGTATCATACCTGTAGTATTTGCCTTATGTAGCACTATATTGTAAACTCTTTCAACAGCCCGGCCGGGCTAGCTCAATCGGTAGAGCGTAAGACTCTTAATCTTAAGGCTGCGGGTTCGACCCCCGCGTTCGGCTATTCCTAAAAACCAAACCTGAGATTTCTTTTTTGCTCTCTTAGTTTTTCTTCCCCTTCCCGTTCGAACAGTCCAGATTGAAATACATAATTGCTATCTATGTTTTGGTGTTATTATTGTATTGTGAATGCATGCAGGTCGAAAAGCATAGCGCACGGACCAAGTCGATATTAGCGACGCGTTGACGCGAACCGCCTCAGGCATCAGGCATCTACCTCCCTTAACGTCATATCTTTTACCTGTAGGCTCCAGTCTGATGTTTAAGTCTTGAAACATTGCTGTTGCAATGAAACAATCGCATGAACCTCGTAACCTGCCAGAGACTCCTCGAAATCAGTCCCGTACCCCGCGAAGGCTTAGTCCACCAGGACTCCCAACAACTGCCACGAAAAACATCACCGGGCGGAACCGGTCACCGCAGTCCTTGACATCGGCAAGCACCCGTAAGCGAAGATCGCTGTCACGAGTCCAATCGACTCTCACGCAAATCGACTTTGTGACACAACCCACACCTTCGAATGATGACCAGCTTGGCTACATTGACGAATACAAGCGTCGCCATGGTACCCAAGACACAACCCAGCGGCCAAATGTAGATAATGGGTCAGACAAGGATTCAGACAATCTCCCCGCTCCACCAGTTCGGTCAGCTCGTATCTCGAAATTCAAGATGAGTGAACGAGAACACGATTCGGATGAACGCTCGCAGAAGCGGAGGAGCTCTGGAATCCTCAATCGAGATGCAGGTCGAAGTCATGGACCACGAAAGAGCGAGACACCAAGGGCAAGTGTCCGTCCTAGGGGCGGTCGAAAATCTTTAGAGAAGTCAACAGGAAAGCGGGACAAGACTTTAACTCAGATGGACTTTGTACGACGCTACATTACCATCGATGATGATGATGATGACGTGAACATGAGCTACATCCAACCGACACCGCAGAAGAAGAACATAAAAGATGAACAGACAGAACATACGCCCAAACAGAAGCAATTACAGCCTACGAAGCGTCCGACCTCCGCCAAACGAAAGCGCAGAGCCTTTGAAGAAGAGCTGGACCTTTCAACGGGGGAACCTATATCCCAACAAAAAGAAGCACCAGAATCAAATCCTAGAAGCGGAGGTGAGGGAGAGCAGGTATCTGCAGCTCCTGTCACACCGCAGAAGCTTCGGACGCGCGAGATACCTTCTTCACAGACTCCCGAAAGCCCCGGTCTCGCTATTATAACCTCATCCCAATTTCGCAGCGCTACTCGCTCTCCTTCGAAACGGAAGCCGTTAAACCCCACGGATAATTTCATGCAACCTATCAAAGAAGAACACCCGGAGATTCGGCGAGTGGTCGAGGATTCACAAGATCCCGCAGGCGAATCTTTACCACGGCCTACAACACTCGATTCTCCAAGTCTCTATAACAATTTGGTCCATCCCGATCTAAGTACTACTGAGGGTTTCCCCTCGTCTGCACCTCCGACGGAGTCAACTTCCCAGGAATTCCCCATCGAAGCAAATGAGAACTTGAGAAATGAACCCACCAAGAGGGAGAGAACAGTGATCTACGAAACGGATGCGGACTCAGAATACGGAGACTTTGAGGAAGACCTCGATGAACGTTCCGTGACACCATCTCCAAAGAAAACACACCGAGAATTTGGTCCGCATGACGGCTCACAAGCGACCAAACATAGCCCAGAGTCACCCAAGGATGATTCCCAAGAACTTCCTCTACCAGCTGTGCAATCGAGCCCTGGATTGGATGATGCTCCTCCATCCGAAGCTCCAATGTCCGATGCTTCAATTTGCTATCAAAGAATGCACGCAGCTACACAGTTCCCGCATGAGCCAATCCCAACGCTGAATACACAGAAAATGTCCGAGCTTTTCCCTCACGGAGACAGTAGCCAGTACACAGATTTGGAGGTATGGAAGCCATCTCTTCGAAAACAGGCACCAGGGCCATTCTATCAGACACAGACACAGACCCAGAGCCAGGAAGGTGACAAAGAGTCTACTGAAATGGTTCCCGAGTCGTCGCCCATCCGTGAACGAGAACGTGGAATCGAGTCGGGTGATAATTCGTTCCAACGACCTCTTGTTCCCGGCTCAGTGGTTCAAGTTGAGTCCTCGCAGGCGGTGGATCGAGATCCCCAATGGCAGGGCCGGATTCTCTCCCGGAGTCAGCTTCTTACATCGAGCGTCATGGAGAGCATTCCGCTCCCGAATTTTTGGATGGGAAGTCAGGATAGTGTAGGAGAGCCTTACAGCTTACCCGAAGGGTGACATTGTTTGCGAGATTATTCAATGGATTTTATGAATTACGAATTTGTTTAATATTGTTCAGTGTAATTATTATATACATATTACTACACATTTAACCTTGAATTTATTGATCAACGTGTTTATAGAATGTGTATGTAGTTAGTAGTAGTTTTTGAGGATCGTCGCAAGCGGGGCGGTCGGCCCATGGACGAACGCGGAGATCCTGCAACCTTGTGCTTCCAAATCTTCGACCCTCTTTTCCCTCCTGCAACTTCCCAATCATGGATATCGCCTACGATCACATCCAGGAGGAGGCATTTTCCAACAAGGAGGGCGCTCCCTCCGACTCCAAGCCCCAGGAGTCTAACGCCAACCTCAACGATGAGCTACAAGAGACCTTCCGTGCATTCTCCGCCAGTCCGTGGGGCTCCCGAATTGGAGGACTATGGGACAATGTACGCAAACAGGGAGAAACCTACTACGAAGGTGCTCGTCAAGAGTATGCAGCTGCCAGCGAGGAAGCCGTGAAAGGATTTTCAGATCTCAAGGAAACACTCGCCGACCGGACAAAGGGGCTGTCTCTCAGCACAGCTGCCTTGACGGGCAGTGGCGAGGGACAAAGTGACGAGACCGCCACACCCAAGGCTGCTACAGAAGGAGGAGAATCTACCGACAAGGGAGAAGGCGAAGGCGCTGGCGCCAGTGGAGAAAGCTTTATTGCCAGGTTGAAGGCGGAAGCCGCTCGGCGGCTGAAGGAGATCGAGAAGGCAGAGGAAGCAGCTGATGAAGCGATCCTGCGATTCGGAATGAACATAGGCCAGAAGTTGCGTGAAGCTGTTAGCATTTTGCCCCCCGATACCGAAGAGTCCGGCAAGCTTCTTTTCGAGAGCAAGGATGCAGAGGGAAAGCGGGTCATTCATGCTACACGGTTCGAGGCACAGCTGCACGTTATTCATTCAAACCTGGAAAGTTTCAGTAAGGACCCGGTCAGTGATGAGTGGCCTTCGTTCAAGAAGGAGTTCAATGTCGAAGTCAAGACGGATGAGATCGCTGCCGATTTGGAGAAATACCCCGAGCTCCGTTCAGCCATGGAGAAGCTCGTGCCCGAGCAGGTCGAATACGCGGAATTCTGGACTCGTTACTACTTCCTTCGTCTCGTCGTGGAGACCGAGGAGAAGAAGCGTAAGGAACTTCTGAAGGGTATGTCGAGTTTATTAATCCGGTGATTTTTGTTCCCAGTGCTAACCACTTCTACCTTACAGGTGCCAATGCCGAAGACGAAGAAGAAGTCGGCTGGGACGACGACTCTGACTCTGAGTCTCAGTCCCCCTCTACCCCACATGTCCGCTCCGGTGCCCAGACTCTTGCTCCCACCAAAGAAACCGAGAAAGCCGAGCCTCGCCGTTCGAACGACCAGCACTCCCAAGCCGACAGCGAATCCAGCTACGATGTTGTGAGCGGCGCTGCTAGCCGCACACCTGGTAGTCCCAAGGAAAAGGCTGCCTCCGCTGCGAAGGCGGATGAGAGTGACGAAGATTGGGAGTAATTTCCTATCTTTTTTCAAGGACGCATCAGCATGATGATATCTAAGTTGGTCCCGAGGGCGCTTGTCTATACCATATACCCCCGAAAGCGTGGTCTTGCTACTGCGTGCGCCAGCTTAAAACATGGCCAATTGCTCCTGAATAAATCTGCTTTGGTTGGAGTTTAGGAATATCGGGTCTTTTATTTTTGGCGTTTCGGGCTTTTTTTCCCCCTCTCCTTTTATTCCCAGCTCTGTTTTCTGCAACTTGCTTTCAGCGAGCGATTTTATCTGTCTATGCGGTTGATATCTGAATACACGTCACTCTTTCTATCCACATACATAGCATCTCATCTCATCATGGGGGTCTGACTATCTAAGCTCCTAAGTGGACCATCAGCCGACATTTGACGGCCACTATAGATGATGGCATTCGCCGAACAATTTGACATCCAGTAGAGGATTGGCCCGAAGGGTAGGATGAAAAAATCTATCTTGTAATGCACTCGCTATCTCATAATCATGATCATAATACATGTACAAGGCATCATAGTCCACGAATTTCCCATCCATCTCCCATTTAATCTGTTGTGCCAGACCCTACATCTCCATCATCCAGAGACCTCCCCATCTTTTTCGAAAGGGGCGACTCAGCATACGCAGGCCTCATACCACGTTGAACACTTGGACGGACATTCGAGCCTTTGCGCACCGGAGTTTCTGGCGTACTTTCCCTGGAACGAAGGTGGAAGCCCTGCGACCGCCCGCTGGGCGAGTAAGGATCGCCGCCATACTGGGAACCGTTACCGGGTTCCCAGCCATACTGGTAATCCTCACCGCGGTGTTTGACGGGGCTTTCATTGTAAGGATCCCAGCCAACGCGACGGCGGGCCTCGGAGCGTAGCCGCTGGCGGTGCTGTTCGTCGCCGCCAGCGCCGGTTGTGGATGATTCTTCCAAAAAGAAGTTGAGGAGCTCGTCACTGATGGAGAGGTGGGATTGTTGCTGGAATTGTTGGAGGGATGTTAGGCGGAGGAGGGTTTCGAGGAGGGAGAGGGAGGTACGGATGTTTTCGAAGTGGGGGTTGGAGACTGTTGTTGTTGCAGCGGCGGATGAGAATGATTGATTCAGAGGAGATGGGGAGTGAGATGAATGCCCCTTCTCATTAAGCGATAGCTTGGCCATCATATTTGGGTCTATTGAGGATTCAACTGTGGATGATTCGGGATTTTCGGCTTCGGACTCGGTATCGGAGGTTTCGTCTTCGTTATAAACTTCAAATGCGATCCATTCTGGGTCTAGTCCGGGAGGTAGACGCCATTCTTCGGGGATGGAGTCTTCATGCAGATAATTGAAGCTGCTGGTTTCCGGATTGTCGCCCCCGTTCAGCTGTGCGTCGAGTTGAGCTTGCTCCTCATCCTCTGGTTCCTCCTCGGATTCTGGTTGAGCAAAGTCCTCCTCCATCTCGTCGCGTTCCATCATGCGGCGTGGCGGGAGAGCATTGAGGTCCCGTTTCAATAGTAGCACTGGGTTGTTTGTTTCGCCCTCTGTGCTGATGTTGAGGATTCTCCCGGTGTCTGCGTAGAAGATTTTCGAAATTTGGTGAATAGGAAGAATCTCCCGGATTCCTGCCGTGGAAACGCCTTCATAGTTTTGGGGTTGCGGGTCATTCTCGTCGATTGTGTGGACTCGACTATCATCTAGGTCTTCGATGATCAGGACTTGATAAGCGTATTCATCGGACCCGGCTGGCCCCGGCAGTTTCGTTCGTGGGTGTTGGTCTGGAGACTGCAATGAAGCTATTGGAACGCGGCGCAGCTTCAAACGTGCCTTGTGCATGACTTCCTTCCATGTGGCCTCGCGAACAGATTCTTCATCATGAGGTCGCAAGTGGCTGGCAAATAGCATGTACATCGATAAGGTAAAAGTTGGCCCTACTTGGACTGCTTGAGATGGGGACATTGAATATTGTGTATCCCCTGCTGTGAGAAACGTGCTTGCTTGGAGTAGTCGGGATGGCGATACCGTTGCGGGTAAGTTGGTGGATAACTTGGCCCCAGAGGTGGTGATGGCCAGGTTCATCAGTGGTACTGCGTCTTCAATCCGAGCCAACAGCTTCTTGATATCTTTGATAATAAGCTTGATTTCTTTCTCGCTGTTCGTTTGATCCTTGGAGGATCTTGCCCCTTTACGCCTCAGTTCTTCAGATGCCGCAGCTCTTCCCAGACGCTGTCCTAGGGCTTGAATATCCCATCTCAGAGACTTTGTGAGGGCGACAGCAGATTCCAATGACGTATTTCCTCGAGCAGCACTAGAAAACAATTATTAGCTTTCTGGCAATCCAAACCAGTGTCGAGTGACTCACATCAACTCAATCATGTCAATAGCTGGGGCAATAACCTGTATCTTGCTTTCCAGACGTTGTTGTAACGAAACAAGCTCATCTCGGTCCTCGCTTTTGACATTCTGAGGGAATGGATCAGCGCCGACTTCTTTCTACAGCCGAAAAGACTTACTCTGAGCAAGCGCGATGACTGGCGCATTGCATAACTGGCAGTTATCGCAATTCCCGACCTACGTGACAGCTTTTAGCATTGAACGGTGTCGTTCCTCAATCATTATTAAGCATACCGAATGGCATAATTCATGGCCTGTCGGGTGAGCTGTATGCAATACACGAATTAGCTGCTTGCCCTATGGTCCATAATATACGAGACACACCCCAGTTAAAAATGTATCCATCTTGGTTCAAGTTAAAGGCCAATGGCCTTTAAGATTCGTAGTGTAGATCGTATGACAGGCGATATAAAACGCCCCTGAGCAATAAACCACTCGTGGACCGGCATGGAGGGGTGCTTATCGATAAGAGAATGAAAGCTCAAAGATGAGCCCAACTCCCAACACTTGCGCCTTTTAACTTGGAAAGAGACAACGTAGTGAGGTCAGAGAATTGAAAAAGTCATAGGTATAAGAAAAGAGACCGTTTTCCCTACAAACATTTACTCACATTGTCACACTGAAACAGAAGAAACCAATCCAAGATAAAATATCACGTGAAAAAAAAATATCGCGGGGTCTTAGTCATTCACCTGTGCAAAATCAAAAGGCACTGGGGCCCCTCTTATTGACCCAACTTGTATTTGTCTAAATCCGTCTTGGTTTCGTATTTTCGTGTTAATTCGACCTTAGATCTTATTTCACGATGTCAAACCAAACACCCGAATCCTGGGAAGATGAGCTTTCCCGACAGGCTGAGGGCGTTAACCTGAACGCACAATCTCGCCCTCAGGGCCAGGCGCCCTCTTTCACACCTGGCGCTGCCTCTTTCACACCGGGCGCTGCCTCTTTCACACCTGGAGCCTCTTCCTTCGTTCCCGGACAGCAGTACCAGCAGTATGCTGGCTACCCCCAACAGGGATACCCTCAGTACGGCCAACAACAGGCCTACGGTGGCTACCAGCAACAGCAGCAAGCCTATGGCCAGTACAACGCCTATGCCCAGCAGCCCGGTGGATTCAACCAGTACAACAATGGACAGCAACAGCAGCAATACGGTGCCTATAACCAGCAGCCTCGCCAGAATGCGCCTGTAGCAGCACCGGCCCAGTCCGCTCCAAAGCCCGCAGCGAATGCCGCCGCGCCCAAGGCCAAGGTTCTCTCTATCGGCGCCACTTCTTCTAGCGCTGCCCCCAAGACCAAGGTCCTTTCGATCGGCACTCCTACCCCAGCACCCAAGCCTGTTGACACCACCCCCAAGGAGGCCAATGGTGATACCAAGGGCTCCGCGGCTGCCGAGGCAGGCTCAAAGGTGGCGGCTACTAAGAGCCTTGACAAGTCAGACAAGGCTGCCGCTACTGGCAAGGGTTCTCCCGCACCATCTTCTGGCCGCTCTAGCCCTGGACGTTCCAGCCCAGCCCGCGGCGAGACTGCCAAGCAAGCTCGCGAGGCCAATGCCGTCGCAAAGGCACAGCAAGCTGATGTTGATGATGCAACCCTGAAGGAAATTTATGGTGAGCGCAGAGAGCACGTCAACGTCGTCTTCATCGGTCACGTCGATGCTGGCAAGTCCACCCTGGGAGGTTCCCTCCTGCATGCTACCGGTATGGTCGATGAGCGTACACTGGACAAATACAAGAAGGAGGCCAAGGAAGCCGGTCGAGAGACCTGGTACCTCTCGTGGGCTCTTGATTTGACCCAGGAGGAGCGTTCCAAGGGTAAGACAGTCGAGGTTGGCCGTGCCTTCTTCAAGGTCACTGTCCCGCACCCGGAGGGTGATATTGAGCGCCAATTCTCCATCTTGGATGCTCCTGGTCACAAGTCCTATGTTCCTCACATGATTGGTGGTGCCTCCCAGGCCGATCTCGGTTGTTTGGTTATCTCCGCTCGTAAGGGCGAGTACGAGACTGGATTCGAGAAAGGTGGCCAGACCCGCGAGCACGCCTTACTCGCTCGCAACACCGGTGTTTCTAAGCTAATTTTGGCGGTGAACAAGATGGACGATCCTACTGTCGAATGGAGCAAGGCCCGGTTCGATGAATGCACCATCAAGGTTACCAAATTCTTGGAAGCCCTGGGCTACAAGAAGTCTGATATCTTCTGCATGCCTATCTCTGCTCAGCGCACTATCGGTATCAAAGACCGCATTCCCAAGGATGTGTGCGATTGGTACGACGGTCCATCACTGCTCGAATACCTGACTGCGTTTGAGCTCCCCGAGCGTAAGGTCAACGCGCCGTTCATGATGCCGATCAGCGCCAAGTACCGTGACATGGGTACCATGGCAGAGGGTCGCATTGAGTCCGGTATCATCAAGAAGAGTGGTACTTATCTCATGATGCCCAACCGGGAGGAGGTTCAGATTTCTGCTATGTACGGTGAAACAGAAGAAGAGATTTCGACCGCCAAGGTTGGTGACCAGATTCGCCTGCGTCTCCGTGGTATTGAAGAAGAAGATTTCTTCCCTGGTTTCGTGCTCTGCTCACCTAAGCGCCCCGTTCACTGTGTGTCTGCTTTCGAGGCTAAGATTCGTATCTTGGACCTGAAGAGCATTCTGACAGCGGGTTTCAACTGTGTCCTGCACGTCCACTCCGCTGTTGAGGAAGTTACTTTCGCCTCTCTTCTTCACAAGCTCGAGCCCGGCACCGGCCGCAAGAGCAAGCGCCCTCCCCAGTTCGCCAGCAAGGGCCAGACCATTATTGCCCGCCTCGAGGTTACCAGCACCGCCGGTGCGGTTTGTGTCGAGACCTACGATGAATACAATCAATTGGGTCGTTTCACCCTTCGTGACCAGGTATGCCTTTTTACACTCTTTCTAATATTATTTCTCCGCTAACATTTCGATTGTAGGGTCAAACCATTGCTATTGGTATGATCACCAAGCTCATCACTACCGAGACCGAGGCCCAGTGAAGTGCTTTTGCCAAGGATGCCTGAATATCCATGTTCTCAAAAGTGCAACGAACCACAAAAAATCAGTGATGTGCTTGCGAGAAACTCTGAATAGGGCGGGACGGGTGGGCAGAGGTCGCGTAATGATACCACAGACAGTCCACAACTGACGATGATGAACATTTCTTTTTCCACATTCTTTCTTTTCATAGACTTTGCTCCATCTATGAATCCAAGCGGTTGTACCATGTATGGGTTCTTGAGTTATCTCCAGCCACATAGGGGGGGTATCCGACGCACACCGGATCTGATGAACAATCAACCATTGGTAATAAATTCATCTATGTAACTAGAAAAAAAAAGGATATCTATCCGAGGAGTTTCCTGCTGCCACCAAGGCAAAATGGAAACAAAACAAAATATATTCAACAAACGTCCAAATCTACCTCTTCTTTCCAACAACCTTTGTAAATCCATCATCATCAATCTCAGGCTCAGCCCGCTCCCTAGGAGCCCGCACCAAAGTAGGCGCCTCACCCATCTCAACATCGTCTTCATCACTCTCATCCGTCTCCTGATCCTCATCCGCCGCCTCAACTCTCTGGAACTGATTCGTAGCAGAGCGATTTTGGCTCTTCTTCTGGAATTTCTCCAACATCTGTTGAATAGTACCGAACTCGCCACGATCCGTTTGCGACTTCAACTCCATGATCATATCCGCAACGTCGGCGGCACTCTCGTCGTCCACCGCCACGTCGAACTCGTCGTTCATCACTTGTATGAGCACTTCCTCCAGGTCCTCTGCATCGGTCTCGGGTCGATCAGCCAGCATTTCAGAGATCGCGCCACAAAGCCAGTCCCGCTTCTCGCTTGAGTTGGGGCCGCCCCAGTTTGACTGCACGGCTAGTGAGAGGGCCGGCCAATTGTTGATTGTGAGGGTGATGGCGAGATCGAGGTGAGACGCGGCATCTGTGGCCGGCTGGGGTGTTGTTGTTGCCATTTTGGATAGGTTTATATTGGTTGTTGGACTTCAGGTGGGCTTTGCGATTCTTTTTTTTTTTTCGGGGAAGACTGATAGTACCCCGCGGTCTTGGTGGAGAAAAGGTACCCTGCTGATGGAGTGGGCAAGGTTGGCTTGGATGGTAATGATGGAAAGAGACAATTTGTCTTCCTTGGAGCCTCTCTGCGATCGATGTACTGTATCGCAATTGGGATCTCTTAATACTATGTTATGGACCTTGAGTTTCTTCAAGAAAAAAAAAAGATCCGATTAGATATGATAAGGTCAGGTGATGACTCTCTGCTCTCCCAAGGTTGGCACTGTTTTCCAAGGTCCTCCAGGTTTGCAGAAATAAACCCATCGAATATAATATATTTGTTTCGGTTGCTGCATTTCTTGTACTAATATGAACAAGAATAGTCGGCCATGCGGTCTTCTCATATGTTTTTGGTGGTCTTTTTTAGGGGGGGTTCCTTTTTTCTATGTTCCCATCCATCTTGAGCTTTATTGGGACGGTAGAAAAAGAGCTTAATTATGAAAACGACTTCTCTATGTTAAATAAAAAAAAATGTATTATATGTATAAAAAAATTGAACATCCACTGGCCAAATAAGTTAAAACACTAAAAAAGAAGCTCCGATAGGGGGAATCGAACCCCCGGCTGCCGTGTGAGAGACGGCGATGTTAGCCACTACACCATATCGGATATTGGATGGAAGTACTTTCAGATTTAGCTTACACTAACTTGAATTAGCGCCCCCTGTCCTTATGCTTCCCCGTGCATGGTTGTATATAGCCCCTATCCCCTAAGCTTGCGAGTCATTCGTGCAATGGTCGTATGTTCTAGACTTTCTTAGAGATTAAATTTTATCCTTGTTTTGCAATGTTCATATTGTAGTTAGTCAGGCGTAAACTTTCCTTTTCACACCCTCAAATCATGTTTTCAAATATAGAGCGAGAGTTAGAATTTTAAAATTTTAGATATATAAAAAGCCTGTCATGATTTGTACTTAACGTCGAAGTTAAATGTCCCATCGATATACAATTGATTATCACTAATGAGGGATATACATAGATAGCCAAATCAAGTTTGGAAATCTCCAAATTGGCTATGCTTTGTGCCCATTAAATAGCTATTGGTTGTGTGTATGGATACTTATTATATAGGCTGCGTACGACGGCAATCAATCTGACTAGCCTGATCACGTAGATTTTCGCTTTAATCTAAGAACTAAGCCTTCTTTGTTGCAATCTAACTGGGCAAATAGCAGTATACAATAACCTTTTCTATTAGATCGAATGTGTAAAACTAGTTGAGAAGATAGGATCAACAATATGAAGCAGAGTAGAAAGTGTAGTATTATAATTTAGGAACTATAATAGGGAAAACAATAGCATATTATTTAAATATTCATACCAAAATTTATATATAAAGGCTGGGTTAAACTAGGCCTAAATTAAGGTTTCCATGGCCCTAGTCACTGGGTCTGGGTTAGGCTTAGGTTACTTATCAGCTTTCGACCCAAAATGGGTCGTGCGGAAGACTGCCACCGGGTCAGGCGGAAGATAAATCTCACAAAGGAGAATACGGACGCGCTTAGGCTGAGAACCCCTGACTCTAACAGTACAAAGAATCCGAACATGAAGATAGGGACCTCGAAGACGGGGACTCTTACGACGAAGACTCCTAAGGCCAGGGCGAACAATCTGAGCTGGAAGATCCTAACGATCAAGGTTCCAAAGACGACGACATACGAAGCGAGTCTGTTTATCCACTGTCCATCGAAAAAGTTGCCTCTAAGGACGACGATAGTATAGTCGAAAGGAATAGTGAGGAAAAATTTGTGCTTTAAGAACGGTACCCTAAGGAGGACATTACAAAGAAGACTACAACGTAAGGGAGCTATTACTTTAATTTTGCTTGCATTTCTCTATTGTGCCTATGGTGGCAATGTGCCATGGAGTCAGCGGGGACGTTAGCATCGCTTTCATGCGGGCACTGTTACGGGAGGTCTACCCTTCACCGTTTTGAGCGGCTATTCGCCACTAGTTATTTAGTAGAATAGGAATATCATCCATTTGTAATCCCCACAACAGTAGTAAAAAATAAACCCCCAGGCCCAATGTTCAGGTGACAATAGATTATGGACAAAATGATGGGATTATGAGATAATGCACCCAAGAAAAACCGTCCAAGTCCACTGGTTCCCGAGTCTAGAAAGGCAAATGCGGGGTGAAAATATCCAGGCCGGACAGGCCTTTCATACGTAGCCCCTAAAGCAGGAAATGAAAATACTATCAATACGAGATCCATATGATGAGAAAAAAAACTTAAACTTGGTTGACAAATTAACGTTAAAATAATAAATAGATTCATTCATAATACGAATAACAAAAGTTACTTCAAAATAGCGGAGGTATGCGTACGAGGTCTAGATCATTGATTATTAGCCTAGGTATGATGTATTAGATACTGCCAAGCGCAGCGTGACCACATAAAAGACAATATTAATGTAGTTCGTGTAGTTCGTGTAGTTCTTAATGGATACTTAATCTATCGCTTTCCCTCGTATATAAAAGATAGCGAAAGGAACTCTTTAAACTAAACGTTTATTTGCTCTTCTTATATTACTATTCCCCAATTATTACCCAATTTATTATCTGTTAACAGTTAACAGCAATGTCGTCTAGCAATATCGACCATATCACCATCCCCGCTTCGGAAAAGGACTTCGAGTCTCTGATCGAGTGGTACAAGAAAGCCCTTTCTCCTCTAGCCTTCAAGGAAATTATGCGGTTCCCCGGTATGGTCGGACTGGGCAGCGAGTTTCCTGACTTCTGGATCGCCCAGAAGGAGACGAATATTCCATCGGGGTTTCATTTTGCCTTTTCTGCTCCGAGTACGTTAACCTACTCCTAGACATTTCTCCTATGGAGGATATTATAAGAGATCTTAAGTTATACATCCACTGACTGATCTATGATAGATCGTGCTGCAGTAGATGCCTTCCACAGAGCTGCTGTCGAGGCTGGGGGCACCTGCAATGGCAAGCCTGGGTTGAGACCCGAGTATCATGAGAATTTTTACGGGGCATTTGTTTTAGATCCGATTGGGAACAATGTGGAGATGGTAAGTCGGAGTATCCTTCTTCTGTATTTTCCTGGCTCATCATAGGTTTATAGGTTATTCATTCCCCCGAAGGCCAGGATAAGTAGTATGCTTCGAATGAGGCTTTGACATTGGCGACGTTGTACCTTGAAAGTAAATGGAACAGTTGTTGAACCATCAGTGACAAGCTATGGTAATTTAAACGATAGAAGAAATAGGGGAGGTATATTTGTAAAAGTGAGAAATATTGAATTCTTTTATCAATTCATACATCGAAAATAAGTATATGTGTACCCGTCGCTCGGAATTTTCTTTGCTATGGACAATTCCATTGAGCAGTATGACTTTACATTTACAGACTAATTCATTAGTTTAGAACATTTGATAACTTTGTAACCAACTGCATCCCCTCTTTCAATAGCAGAAGAACTTGCCAAGTGTTGGATGCCTGAGGCATCACCATGTTGTCGGAGCATGACGACCGGCATACCGGGGGATTTATTAATCCTACACATTTTTGTAATTAATGTTATGTAATCATGGCTCCATATAAATTGTACCAAGAGCCGATACAGAAATACAGAGAGTTGAGTACCACTGATTGGACCCCTACATTTACAATACAGACCAATCCGATAGTTATAAGCCTGGTTCGTATCGAAGAAAGCATTACTATTTGAGATATAGTATCTAGTACACTACTAGAAGCCTGCTTTCTACCCCTTGAAACCTCCTAGCTACCCCTAAATTAGTAATTGTAAAGCTATTCCCAGCTACCCCTGAATCCAGCAATGGAGGCAGTATCAATTCTCTCCGCTATGAAGGGCGAAAAACTGAAGGACTCGCCGCAGTGGCTTACTTGGTTTGTAAAAGTGCAGCTATATGCTATGTAAAAGAACGTATGGGACCTTTGCAACCTAGATCCCCCGATAACAACCGAATCCTAAGTAATAAGATCTATACCTCTCTAAGAACCGGTGGAACCGGAATACCTAGAGGACGGCAATGATAAGGATCGAAGGATTTGGCGAGATCGAATAGACGTGTATAAAATGAAGTATACGAAGTGGGAGAAGTAAGTAAAAGGACTAAGTGATGTCAACGAGTATATCCTTACCTACCTCGACCTAATATATTACCTTACTCTGATTATATATCGTACTCCGTATGAGAGGCTTGTATACCTAAAGACTAGATTTGCTCGGTTAACGGCGTACGAAGAAGAAATCCGTATGAATTGGAAGGTCTTTGCTATACAGAAACCAACCGGTGATATTAAGTAGTGGCTTTAAAAGTGGAATTTATTAAGAGAGTAAGCTATTAGCCTCGGTATTAGCGATGTAGATTCCAATCGAGACTTCCTATATGCAGTTAAAGAGGTACTGCTAATCTGGTGGTAAGGAAAATACTAAGAGATTATTATAGATAAGAAGAAATATGACACTCGAGATCTTCTTAAATTATTCCGTGTAATGAATCGGGAGATAGGCGTCAAAACTGTGACCTTAACCAATGCTCCAAAAAGTGCTTTTTCAACCTGGTAAGGTTATCGAGAAGTAAAGCCGGAAGCGAAGTAAGAGAAGCTTCTATTCGAGAAGAGAAAATGTCTATGTGGTAATGGTTATCTATACTATAAGGTGGCTAACTGCTGGCTTATGAATGAAGCTATACGCCTAGAAGGATATACCCTAGACGAAGGGAAGCTAGAGAGAGCTAGAAAGAAGCTAGCAAATGATCTAGGGTGGAAGTAGACTGCGCCAAAACCCGCAAACCCGCAAACCCGAAAAAACCTAACCCGCAAATGGGTCGGGTTTCGGGTCGACTTTCATAACCCGCAATGGGTTTCGGGTTTGCTTGGGTAACCCGCGCGGGTTTGCGGGTTACCTATGCG